TCCTCTCCCACGCCCCCTGCTTGTGTTCCCTCTCTCTCTGTGTCTCTGTCAAATAAATAAATAAAATCCTGAAAAAAAAAAAAAGTTACAAAGTCTCCTTCTTCATCCCTACTGTTTAAGCCACAAATAAATATTGCTCCCTTGACAATAAGCCAAAGGAAGTTTGTTTTGTACTTTCTTGTAGTATACTTGGTTGAAAGAGTTCCAGATTTCAGTTTAAATGAAAAGTCATAAAAGTAGACTAGTTCCACGGATTCCAACAAAAAGGTTATCATGAAGACTCAAATTATAGGAAGTTTTGACTGTTGCTCATGGTCCCCGTTATACAAGGTCAAAGCTTTGGCTTTCCGTAAGAGTTTGTTGGAAGACTTCATCTGCCTAAAATCACAAGGAGAAATACAGGCAGCAGGGATACCTGAGGGTATGAAGAGCCCTGTGTGACTTTCGCTCTGTTGTAGACTTTTTGAAACCCAGGGATGGAGGGGAGGATTCATGAATCCAAAGTTAACGCTCTCTGCTCAGAAGGATCCATCTGGAAGTTACTCCCTGACAGCTCAATGGCAGAGCCCTATTCTGAGAAGCTGGGTTAGCCTCTCCCAAGCCCTTGAGATCTAAAAGGGCACTTCCTAGAGATCACCCAATTATTTTCGATATTTTTTAATCTCCAAGCCCTAAAACCTGACATAAAGATCAAATACATAAAACATGTCAAACTAGCACTGCTCTTGTAGTGGGAAGATGGAGTTAGAGACAAAGATGTTTAGTATCCATTTCCCCTCCTTACATGAGACAGTCTCCCCAGCAGTGGAACCCCTAGGGTTCCTTGGAACACAGTTTGAAAATTATTAAGTCTGTATGCTCAGAGAAAGACATGGAGATGTATACTGAAGGCTGATAATGGCAATTATCTGTCCTTTTTGTGGGGACAGGGAAAGCCAAAGAATGAAAGACAAAATAAAAATGGCAATACTGTGGTACAAATATAGACTGTAAGATTTTATCTATAACATTATTGCACATCTATAAAAGTAAATATACATATAATCAAGTAATAGGTGTAAATGTGAGCAAATAAAAACATCTGATTCAGTTAAGGGCAACTTCTCTGTAGTGTTTCTGTTATTTTTATATTTTTGCAATTAAGTACCATTTTTTACAAAGGAAAGAAAAGTATTAATCAGATCTGTTCGTCCATGAGGTCCAGATCTGACAAGGACCATGTACAAACACTCAAGGGCCTGACCTGCAATATTTAGTCACTATTACTTACAGAGAAGTAGTGGGTTATAAAAACCACAGCTCTGAACTCCACCAGAAAAGGTATACATTTGAGCTATTTTGCAATTCTCAAAGGCACTAATTAGAACTGGTTATGGGGACAGATTTTATGATACACTTTAGAAGAAAAAATATGGGGGCAATTCAACACACATTGATCAACCAACTTCTAACTGCAAAACCCTGTTCTAAATGCCCTGTGACACCCACAGACAAGCAGGATATGGGCTGCTCTTCAGGAGTCCACAATTTCATGATGAAGACAGACACAAACAACTCTTAGTTTAAGAAAGAATGGAAGCCAAGCATGGACAAATAACTCCAACTTGGGACACTGAAGAAAAGGTCATGATCAAAAAACCTTAAGAAATGAGTGTATGTTCCCCACATGCCCCACTGCACTGCATAGCACAACTCAGGGAGACTGCCTTTCAAGGTGACCCAGCTAGACAGAGAAGGGACAAAGGCCAGTCCAAGCCAAGGATAAGCATGAGCAATGGCAGGAAAGACATAATGTTCAGAGAAAGGTGAATTATTTGGTCCAGCCAAAATGTATGGGACAGTAGGAGCGGAGGGAAATAGAAAAGACCAGATCGGAAATACAGGTGAGGGAAGGTTTTTTGAGGAAGCCAGCATAAACTCAAACATTTAACTTGTGCTTCAGGGTGGGAAATCTACTAGAAGCATGGAAATGAGCAAGGAAAGAGATTAGAGGCACAGTAAGACTTGAATGAGAAAAACCCTGAATGGGGAACAGAAATGAAAAGAGCATAAAGGCACTGACAGGGGAGACGAGGTAGAAGTTTTAGCAACATAATCTGTCACTTTCTGATCAGTCACCTGGTTTAAGGTAGGAGGAGAATCCAAAAAATCATTACATGATCCAACTACTTTAATACCGCTGGTATATCTCATTACAAACTTTAAAATGAACATTCCATGCTCAGTACCTTCACTTTCCCAGGCCTGCAGCCGATCCTGGTCCCTGGTAGCACTGCCCAACACCTCTCGAGGGACAGGCTCCATTCGTGCATCCATCTTCTCTTGCTGAGAGGATTGGTTAAAATCTTCAATTGCCTTCTGGAAAAAGAAGTTCAGCTCCTCAAAGTTCATGGCCTGGAGCTCTGCATAAAGTTCTACCTGTTGGGCTTCATCCAGCTCATTCCAGAACTGTAGCAGGTGTTCCTGTCCAGCTTTGGACAACCTGAGTTTGAGATCGTTAACATTCATAATGCTCTGGGAGCCAAGCTTTGTGAAAATAGAGGTGTAATCTCTGCACCTGTAAACCTTAAAAAAAAAAAAAAGGAATCAACAGCGGGTCAAAGTCCAACCTCAAAACCTGAGGAGCTTTTCCTACTACAAATAGTACATTTTTTTAAAAAACTTAATGTTAAGGAAATTAACTTCTGCCTTTGCCTCACAAGAGTTGTGAGAGATCCAACTTGTAAAGACATAAACAGACATTTCTCTAAAGACATCCAGATAGCCAAGAGACATGTGAAAAGATGCTCAACATCACTCCTCACCAGAAAAAAGCAAATCAAAATTACAATTATCACCTCATACCTGTCAGAATGACTAAAATAAAAAAACACAAGAAACAAGTGTTGGCAAGGATGAGGGGAACCCTCATGCACTGTTGGTGGGAACGCAAGCTGGTGCAGCCACTGTGGAAGAGCGTATGGAGGTTCCTCAAAAAGTTAAAAATAGAACTACCCTATGATCCAATAATTGTACTACTGGGAATTTACAAAAAAAAAAAAAACCCACTAACTCAAAGGGATACATACACCCTTATGGTTACTGCAACATTATTTCCAATATCCAAATTATGGAAGCAGCCCAAGAGTCCATCCACTGAGGAATAAATAAAGATGGGGGGGGTGTGTGTGTACACAATGAAGTATTATTCAACCATAAAAAAGAATGAAATCTTACCATTTACAACAACATGGATAGAGCTAGAGAGTACTATGCTAAGTCAATCAGAGGAAGGCAAATATATGATTTCTCATATGTGGAAATTAAGAAACAAAACAAATAGCAAAAGAAAAAAAGAGCGAGACAAACCAAGAAACAGACTTTTTCTTAACTACAGAGAACAAACTGATGGTTACCAGAGGGGAGGTAGGTGGGGGGGAATGAGTGAAATAGGTGATGGGGACTAGAGAGGACTCTTATCACAATGAGCACTGAGTAATGTACAGAACTGTTGAATCGCTACACTGTACACCTGAAACTAATATAACACCGTAAGTTAAATATACCAGAATTAAAATTTAAAAAAATAAAAACAAATAAAAATTTAAAAATAAACTTGTAGGACAATTAGTATTATTAACTGTAATACTAACTAGCATTATACAGCAGGCACTGCACTAAGAACTTTACCTCCAAGGTCTCATTTAATTTTCACCAACTCTACAACAGAGGTGCTATTATTTTCCTTACTTTACCACTGAGGAGACTGAGGCACAGAGAGGCAACACAACCAGGCCAACTGGCGGAGCTGGGATGTGAGCCCAGCAGGTGGTCCAATTCCAGGGCTCACCATCTGGCCTCCCCACTGCTGCCCCTGTCATACTCCTCTGGCCGTGAGCACTTGACTTCTAAGTAACAACTGTTCTCCTTCTAGTGCTAATGAGGGAAACGATTCTGTTGTATTCAGAATAAAACAAAATCCAAGAAGATAGGAACACCTATAATCATGAAAAATACACTTTATTTCAATAGCAACTTCTACAGAGAAGCAATAAAAACATATCTATTATCTTTACTAAGAATTAAACCCCAAAGGGACAAGCAATTCACATGTAACAATCAACAGATAAGAAATGTAATACAGCAAAGTGTTAAACTGCATACTATTCAAAAATAAGAGAAAGAGGAAATATTGAATCTACTTGTCTACTATAGATAAATGCAAGAGAAGGTAGGCGTTGTCTAGAAAGAGTTCACAAACGAAGCATGATGGAGCTGTGTGTGCCTCACGTATTAACACAGATAAGATCAGAAAACAAGCAGAGCAGACCTGTGTGATGAGAGCAGTTAAGAAAGCTGAAGTTCTACGTAGCATGATGGGAAGAGATGTAGGGTAGGACTCGACCACGAAGAGCCTTGAAAACCAAGCCAAGGAATTTAGACCTAACAGAGTAACAAGAAGCCCACAGCAGATTACTCAACAGGGCCATGTCAGCATGCTTTAGAGAGACGACAGAAAGGGCAATGGCATAAAATAGATGGTAAGGAGGGACTACTAGAAGCAGGAAAACAAGTTCAAAGACAACTGCAGGTATGAAAAGCCAAAGTTCTGAGCCAGATCAGTTGCAAGGGAAATAAGTGTGAAAGGGAGAAATTTGAGGGTCACTGTAAAGAATCATCACCAAGTTCTAACTGCTTAGACATGAAGGACAGGAAAAAAAGTTACCAAAGAAACAGCCTGCTATCTCCTACCATAAGAACAGTGGTAGGTAACAGACATGGTAGTTCGGAGCAATGTTCTGGAGTTCTGTGTGCCTCACCTGTAAAGTGGAATTAATAACAGTATCTACCTCATCAGGACTACTAAACATCAAACACCATTCACAAACTCAGGTTAAGAGAACCTACATCTGTTCCCTGAGGTAGCAATAATAACACCTATCGCTTACATTATCACTCGTGGATGACTCAGTACAATTCTAATTGCTTTACAGATACTTGTTTCATGTCATTCTCAAAACAATGCTAAGGTACTATTGCTGGGATTACTTTACAGAGGAAGATACTGCACCACAGAGACAACTTGCCCAAAGTCCCAAACTAGTAAAGTGATAGAGCCTGGATTCAAACCCTAACAACCTGACTCTTGAAGTCACACTCTTAACTGTTACGCTCTACTGCCTCTCAGGAGAAAAGACTGTGGGTGAGTGGGTGTGGGCGTGGGTGTGTGTGTGTAAAAGAAAGGAGCAGCGAGAGCGAGTACATTATTTATACTTTATTCAGAAATACAGACACAACTGATGTTCTTACATCTGACTCACTTTGCAGAAATGAGTTCACAAGCCAACAGAATGGAGAAAGAAAGAAAATGCACAAAACAGGCAGGGGCGGAACTTCACAGGATGAGTAAATACTTCATTTTAAAATGTATTATTACTTTTTATTCAGTAATGGGTATGGTGATCCAAATCAGAAATTGCTCAGAAATAATTTTAACTAATGTCCACTCAAAAATACATTCAGGAAATGTTTTATCAGACAATAGAGACAGGCACATAGCTTCTATAATTTTTTTCTTTAAATAAGATGCCCTCTAAAACTGAAGTGACAGACTGGCTTTAGGATTCTTATAAAATCAACTTCAAATTAGATGAGCACATAAGATTCAGTGTGCTATATTCCCAACTTTTATTTTTGGTTTGTTATTTAGATTTATTTCAGGGATATAATGCTTCAAGTGTGAAATGAACGGTACTACTCATGAAATCCACTTTATGAGTTACCAATGATTCCTAACAAAATTAAGGCTCCCATATGAAACAAAAATGAAACCTTATTATCAGGGTGGGACACAGTTCTACCTTGCTGTCACCTAACACCCCTGTCCTTTCCTCCAAGCACTTCCTTTAGCCCCTCCTATCTACTGAAATCCCATTCACCCTTAAAGGCCTGCCTCACATACTCTAGCTTCAAGTGCATCTTTATTGGTTTAGGAATCAAACAAAAGTGACTTTTATTCCTGGCTCTCTTCCTTGGACCAAGTCATAGATACCTTCAACTCTGTTAATTTCATCTGCAAAATGGGAACAATAAATTTTATTCACCAGGTTCAGAGGCGTAAGTGAAGTAAGAACCAATGAGAAAACAAGGCTCAAAGAGGTTCAGTAATTTGCCCAAGGCTACGTACCTAGTAGATAGAAGAACAGGAATTTTAACCCAGATAAACCTGACTCTAATGCCTATGATCTTTGCATCAGACAATAACCCTCATAAGCAGAGCAAATACTAAGAATTCAACCCAACATCTCATTTAAGAGGCAGGAGAGCTGGTGGAAGTCAGCATCGGGCTCCGGAGCCAGCCTGGCGGGGCTCAGACCCCTGCAGCACTATTTCCTAATTCTGTGACCTTGAACAAGTTACTTAACCTTTCTGTGCCTCAATTTTTCTCTTCTGTAAAATGAGGATAAAAACAGTACTTACCTCTAAGGTTAAGAGAATTACTGAATTCAAATGAAAAGCACTTAAAACAGTACTGGACACATAAAAAGCCCTCTATAAAAGTTATCAGCTACTATTATAAAAATGAAACTTGTGCTTCAGAACAATGAGCTACAGCCTCCGGAACAGGAGGAGAGCTACCGGCTGAGTTAGGCAGTGGAGGATGGAGAGAAGTGTGAGAAAGGTACAAGAAGTGAAAGAAAACCCAGTCCGTGGCAAGGGCAGGAAAAGCGGTTTAGGTAAAGAAATATACTCAAGGCACGAGGCATCGTGCTGGAAGATGGGCGGCAAGTGGCCACAGATGAGGCTGCATGTGCTTCAGTGCTGCTACTCCTGTTCAAAGACAGATGGTGAGCCCACAACCTCACTCATGCCAATAGGTTCCTGCTCAGTTTCCTTTTCACACGCAGAGGTACGTCAACAGACAATTTATGAAGGAACATTATTTAACTTTCATGTGCCATTAATTCATTCAATATTTAATGAGCACTTACTGTCTGCCAGGCGCTGATGTAGGGTACAAAGACACAGCAATGCACAAAGCGACAATGCGCATGCCCACATTCCAGTGCGAGAGACAGGCAAACATAAAATGTCAAGTAGAAGAAAGTGGGCTAAGCGGTGAAAGTGCAACGAGAGGGGGACAGTGGATATTTTAAATGGGGTGGTTAGGTGGAGCCTCTGAGACATCTGACAACCCATCCAAATGAAGAGAGAGCAAGTCAGTATCTTAGAGAGGAACATTCTAGGGACAGGACAGCAGTTCTGACACAGGAATGTGCAAGGTCAACGCAACTGGAGCAGAGTGACTGAGCCTGAGGGACTCTAATTGAGGCGGACACTGAGCAGATCAAGTAGGGCCTTTTGGTCAAAGTAAGAACTCCGGGGTTTGGGAAGCCATTGGAGAATTTGGAGCAGGGGAGCTTCATGGTCTGATTTAGATTTCAGAAGGATCATTCGTTGTTGTGTGGAAAAATATCCTGTAATGAAGGGAAAAGTGGAAGCCAGCAGACGGCAGTCAGGGAAGTACTGCGGTAGTCTCCATGAGATGATGCTGGCTTAGAGCAGTGGTGGATGTGGGTCCTAATCCTACAGGATTAGGTCATGGGTGGAATGTGGAGACAGAGAGAAAGACAGGAATCAAGCAAAGAGGACTCCAACTGGTGGTGCCATTTACTGAAGTGGGGAAACATTAGGACAGGAGGAGATTTAGAAATATGCACGGACATGTTAAGTTGGAGGTGCCTATTAGACATACAAACAAATGCTGATAAGACAGCAGAATGTGGTAGTCTACAGTTCGAAGGTGATACTGGAGCTAAAGATAAAACTTTCAAGGTCATCAGCATACATGATATTAATTATGAACTTAATAAGATCCCCTGGCAAGTGTAGATGGATAAAAAAGCAAAGAAGTTAGAAGACTGAGCCTTGGACATGCATTACGATATTAACAGGCATTTCTATTGATTTATATAGATTTCAAGAGATATGATACCATTGTTTTTTAATTAAAAAAATACATCACGTAAAAAACAAAAAAAAGTTGAGAGAGACAGTTTTCTATTAAACTATTGTCCAAGGAATTGGGTCTTTCCTAAGGTCTCATCTATACTACTGTTTTTGCCCAGATTTAAGGAAGCATACTATAGCAGGAAGATCATCTGGCAACCAGGTAACTGAAGAATTGGAAGTCCTAGTTCTTGGTCCCTCCCTATCAACTGACCCTATGCAAATCATTCCACCTCCCTGTGTACACATTTCCTCATAAAGATGATAAAACCAGCCTTCCTCACACACTCTCAAATGAGAGTCAAGAGTGGAGAGTCCCTGCCTACTAAAACATATGCAAACATAGTATTATAACATTTTAAGATATAAATCAATCTTTTCCTAAGAAGTCATTAAATACCCATTCACCTTCAGATGCTTGGGAAAATGGATCCATACAAATAAGACAACTCAGGTTAAATTTTTCCCCACACAGGTTAAACTTTGATACCTGGCCTTGGACCACTGGTGGTCTGCAAAGGTTGACAAGGTCACATGTGCTATATTAATTCTGTAAGAGGTCTGGATGTAATGTGTAATGGTAAGCAATAGTGAATACAAGAGTTAGAGTAGGATTTTTACTTTGACAAGCAAAGTCTGAAAAAGTCAAGGATCTGCTCAAAAAATGATGGCAGAATTTGGTATATGCCCATACCTAATACATCTGCATCAAAAACAATGACAAATTTGGTAAAAATCCACCATGATCAAATATACCTTTATTAAAATTTAAATGCCAGTATTAAAGAAATCCAGGATTTCCCCTCCTTTCCCGGTCTCCCTCCTGCCCCTATCTCTGCTGCTATATTATGCCCCCAAAACTGATAAGTAAACTTCTTAGAACTTTTGAAAAATAGTCTTGGAGTTGAGCCATAACCACTGAATCCTATAAATGCTTGGCAGCACAGACTATGAAGTCTTTCTCAATCCCAGCTAAGGGAGCCAACTCACTAATAATGAGGGAATAGAAGCTGCCTTCAGCTTCCTGTAAACCCTTCGGTCCACACCTACAGAATCTCACCTTAAAAGTCCTTAAACTAAAAGCACTACATAATGACATCTTCATATTATCATAATCACTACTACCTCATTTCAGAATTCATAAACCGTGCACAAATAAACACAGGACAGCATCAGGCCAAACTTAATACAATCTTCAGGAAGCCATATGTTCAGCACATGTGTGCTTTCTCAGCCCTCCAATCCCATCCTCCTGCGTGGCCAAGGCAGGGGAAACCCCGCAATCTCAACCCTCTCCCACCACCAGTGTTAAAACCAACCAAACGAACAAAAAGGGGCAAGCGGGCTTTGTCCCCTTCTCACGTCCCCCGCAGGTATGTCCACTCTTCCCTGCCTACGCCCTCAGAATTCTCTCCCTCTTCTGTGCCAGACGGCCCACCCCGTTCCAGCGGACACTTCAAACGATCACTTGTCCCCACCGGAGGCCCCCGAGCTTGCCCAAACTGTCCGCAAGGCCCCGGCCCGAGAACCTCAAGGCCCCTACCCCCGCATCCAGGTGAGGCCCACCCCCAGCGGTTCGACAGAGCCCCATTCCACCCACTGCCCCGTCCGGGTCCTCGCCAAAGCCCCCGGCTGGGGCGCACTCCCCAGCGGGGGTCTCCGAGCACGGCAAGCGCCTGCGGGGCGCGCGGGGCGGTTCCTCGGCCAGGGCCAGGCTCGGGCGCCAAGCACCGACGTGGCCGTGGGAGCGTGCGCGTGGCGGGACCGGGCCCCGGAGTCCCCTCCGGGCTGGCGGGTGACGGGGGACGGGGGAAAGAGACACGACTGGGCGGAGAGCCCCTCACCTCCCTCGGCGCAACGGCGACTCCGCCCGGCTCCGGCTCCCAGCGCGCGGCCACTCCTCGGCGTCCCGCGCCCGCTCCGAATATATACCCTCATCCGGGGGGCC